GGGGGGAGAGCGAAGGACATGGGGCTACCCCAAATTTGGAGATGGAAGAGGAGGGGGTGGAGAGGACCAGGGTCCTAAAAGGTCTCCCTCTGCAACCAAATAATCCAAAATAGCCAAGATCTGCCAGCCTAGTGGGCGGCTCTGCTAAATTCCCCCCAAATGCTCCAACCAGAGTTGTAAAAACTGATCAGTTGATGCCCCACTAATTGACACACTTTTTTTTTTTTTTAGCATTATATTCTTGGCTAAAAAACCTGAGACAAATCCTTACTCCTTGACCAAGGGTAGTTCTGCTTGTCGCGGTGGCTAAACGAAGCCTCCGAGCTTCGAAGAGCATCCTTTGCCCATCTGGCCTGTGTGAACTTCCTGTCCGAGGGACTGGGCGCCCAACAATTCACAGCGGCGGGGGGGGGACGGAGCTTCGATGTTCAAGAGCAGTATACCCCTGCAGAGAGAGAGAGAGGATCCCGGAGTCACAGCCAGTAGATCTATCTTTCCTGAAGGGTGAAAGGCTGGCCAGTTTTTATTTAACAACCTTCCCCCCCGCCCAGAAAAGTTAAAATGCTGTGCCATTTGCCCCCTCCCGCCGCCCAGAACCGCATGCCCGATGGTGCCCCAGAGCGACCCGCCCTCACCGCTGCCCCCGTTTTGTCACAAAACCCTCCCTTACAAAACGGCCTTTTCCTAGAGCCGTGGTGGAAAGGCCGTCAACAGGAAATGCTCCGTTACCCTGATTTTTCTGTTCATTTAAAAAAAAACCCCGCCTGGGGAGACATTTGCCGTCCCCTGGTGCGAAGCAGGCCCACGTGATCCATTTAAAAATAAAACTCGAGCTGGAAACAGTAACACCCCGGAGGCTCTGAAGTGCATTCTGCCTCTGTATTTCCTGATTTCGCAGAGGGGAGCCGACGGTTCACGGGGGGTGCCGGCGGGCCGATTAAGGGGAGGGGGAAACGAGTCAAAAATTCTGCAAAACCCCAAATTGCAGCGGTTCACTTGCTTAGCAAGATCAGCAGGGCCAGGCTTGTGCTGGTTTCTAGCCTAAATGCCCCTCCACCCAGGATCCAGCCTCATTAAAGCTCCCTTATTGAAAATCTGCTACTAGAGCCCTCCATGATTTATACAAGCCCTGGCTTGACCAGGATGCTAAAATCCTGCACTTGGTTTTTAACCCACACCGTTGGAAAAGGGGTCCCTACCCCTTTCTCTCCCTCGAGAGCAACCAGCCTCAGAGTCTCACCGAAAAAGCGAAAAGGTTTCGATGGATATCATTGCACGCAGACGGACCCACCCCATCGATAGTGGGGCAAGGCCGGGCAGCTGTCAGAAGAAGACTTGGGAGGATTCAGACTCCGTTCAAGTCTTATTCTTCTGTGCGGGGGAAATCAGAAAATGGGGGAAATGATTCATTCATTCATTCAGTTTATATAGCCGCCCATCTCAGACCAGTGACTCTGGGTGGCTAATGACAAATACTCCCTATACTCCTTTGTTCAATGCATCGGTGTGTTTCTATGGCCTTGCACATTGATGAAATTTGAACAACTGGTGCCCCAGATTTTTTTTACTCCTTTCCTGTTCCTCTCTCCTTTTCTATCCGATCTTTCTAACCAAGATCTGTCCTAGTTGTATTCTGGCAATTGATGGATTCCTTAGCCTGACATTCCTCTTGCCTCCCCCCCAAGGAATTCATAGAGGGGACCCCAATGTGGTGGCACAACATCCCTGTGGGGTGCCCCTCTCTCCGAAAACCACCAACCCAAGATCCTCTAGGAAACGTCGTTGCTATTAAGGATTTCGTCTTGGGGTATTCTCGCCGGAGGTCCACCCTTGCTACCTCGAATCTCAGCTCGCTAGCCCAATTTTAGGTTTGGGAGACATCTGCTCTCCGCCGGACGCATCAAAGCACTGTGCGGTCATTCAATGCGCGGCCACCGAAGCAACGGGTTCTAGCCTTAATTGTTCCTTTTGCGTGGCGAATTTACTCTTGAAATGGGGCTCGCTTCTGAGCCTAACCCGAGAGATGCCAATGCTGAAATTCAAAAGCCTGGCACGGCTGTCTCTTGGGCTATCACTAAAGTTAGGATAACAGAGGGCTAGTGGCCGGAGAAATTTCAAGTTTTTGAGCAGCGCGAGGACCTCCGGGGGCTTCGAAACCGAAAATTCCTTTTCCCGCCTAGTCTTTGAGTATTGTCCTTTGTGGCTCGCCTCCACCTTAGCCAAATCATGGGGAATTTGCCCCGATTGTGAATTCCACCTACTCGCCAACTACTCACTTATTCCACTGTTTGGCGTCAGTGGGTAAAAAAAAAGAAACACCAGGACTTTCATTTTTTTTCCACTTTCCTGCGTAGACTGTGGACGCAAGGCCAACCAACCTCTGTCAAAGCAGCTTTGTGGATTTATTCGCTTGGCCTGGGGAAACCGGGAGAAGAGCATTGCTCCGATGCAATTTGCACACTCCTAGAATTGGTTTTCATCCGGGTTCCCCGGATTGCAATGTTGCATTTATTTGTCTTCCAATTATTCCATATTCTCATGTAAAGTACAGTGTTTAATGCACAATAACATGTTTATGCAACATATAAATATACTTAATCTATGCACATATAGTGTGTGTATATGTATATATGTGTCTGTGTATATATATATAAATATATATAATGTATATGTATACATGTATGTGTGTGTGTGTGTATATATATATATATATACACACACAAACACATAATAAGTAGTAAAAATTAGTATTACATTAAATTAAATTAGTCCTAGTAAAAATTCCTGAGTGACTTTTCATTATTTTCTTTCTTCTACGATATTTTTTCACTTCCCATTTAATCACGGAGGTCTCCCATTCAAGCACTGATCAGATCTGACGCTGCTCAGTTTGGACTTAGACGTAGCTGAACTTGGCTGATCTCGAAGAAGCGAAGAAGGTCGTAGCCGGCTTAGATTTTCTAAACAAATAATTATAAAAGAACAGGAAGGAGAAAAAGTAAAAATCCTAAAAGTCTCCTCGAGTCCTCCTGGCGACGCCAGATATTGTCCATGTTGGGTTTTTGGCCACAATATGGAACTGCTTCCCGAGTGCCTTTTTTTCTGGGTTGCTTCTCCTGATGTTCCAGGCTGGCTCAGGGATCTCCTCGTGGCCCCCCATCCATAGGCCACCCCGCTTAGCCTCCAAACCCAGAGGTGGGGAGCCAACATTTGGGAGGGTCCTTAAAAAAAAAACCCCAAAAACACTAACAAAAGACAATAATGAGAAAAGCTATGGGAAAAGCAATGGTCGCGACACCCGTGTTAAAAATAAAGATCCCGGGAATAACATTTGAAAAAGTTGGGGCGGCCTCCTCTTCTCCTTACTGTTTCAGGCCTGTTCTTTTTTCCCTGTATTTTAAACTTTATTGGAATGTTCTGTATTTTAAATTCTGCTTTGCGGTTTGACGGGGCGGGGGCCATCAATAAGGCCCCCACTATTGCATTCAAAAAGAAATGAGCTTTTAAATAATGTTAAATAGATTTTAACAACACCGCAATGGGAGGGGGGAGAAAAGCCCCTCCCTCCAGCCAAGAAGAGGCTATGCCCCGCCCCGTCCCCCCGCTTCCCTGGCGTAGATGGTATCACCCCTTCCCCCCTCCCGGCGCTCCCCGTTGGTCCCCCCC